CGGCTCCGATCCGAGAGCCGTGCGGCTTGGAAGCAGTGCGGGCCTCGGCTCCGTCTCTTTCCGGCTCTCCCCCCCCACCGTCTTCGAGGCACATCGCACTCTCTCTCTCCCCACCCCCCGGCTCCGGCGGCAGCAACGACGTTCTTGCACTTTCGGGGGGATTTAAACATCCCCCCGAAATTTTTTTCAACTTTTTTAATTTTTGTGCACACGTGTGCACAAACCTCCCCCGGCCCCCCAGTTGCCCCCAGAGCGCTGATTTAGCGATCCGCACTCCAGGGGCAACTTCGCTATTAGATATATAGATTGACTATTTACCAAAAGTAATTTTTTTTAAAAAAAAAGATGGAAACTGTGCTAAATGTAAAATGTAGTTAGAGTCACATTACTGCCTCACATCTCTAGTGTGTATACGCAGTACTTACCACAAAGAAGCACAATTTTAAATCTTAGCAGTATAGTGTAGTGCTTGATGTGTTGTACTAGGATGTAGAAGACCTGTTTTCAAAACCCCATTCTGTCATGAAACTTGCTGGGTGACTTGGGGTTAGTTGTGCACCCTCAGCCTAACCCTCACAGGATGGTTGTAAAGATGAAATGAGGGCAGGGAGAATGGTATATGCTACCTGAGCTCCTCAAAAGAAGGGCAGGATCAAAAATGTACTAGAAGATAGATCACAGAAGACATCAAGTGTGTGGGCTAGCTTGCCTCTGAGATTTCAACATACCCTTAAAATGAGCCCCAGTGCCTAAGCCTTGAGACAAAAAATGAACACCTGCAGAGGAGAGAATAATTTGACTTTCTTACCAGTACACTCTCTCTCAGGAGGGCTTGAAGCAGGAAATGGGAGTTACCACTTTGGGCACTTTCTTACTGGTACCCTATAACAGCTTACTTTCACCCCAGAAAACCTGGCAACACTAAGACAATATGAGAAAGTCAGATAAATGCATGAAAATTAGAGGCACAGCTAGAAACCCCAGTCCCAAATCTCACCCTCCATGCCTTAATACTTTCAAAGTTCATCCAAACGGGGGTCATACAAAAGAAGAGTTTGGAAATATGTGTATTTTTAAAGAACTGGATCACACACAGCGATGCATCATGATAGCTAATAATAATAACCACACAAACACACCCCTCATAATTCCTGAGTAAAAATGGCAAGTGGTCTGTAATAGCAAGGAGCACAGCTCTCCTAAGTGTGATGCGTCTGATTCTCAGAGGAGACTGAGACTTACAGATACAGATAGGGGGGAAATAGGGGGGATAGACATAGTACCATGGCCATAGTAAGTGTCAGACTAGGATTCGGGAAACCCCAATTCAGATCCCCACACAACCATAAAAACCCACTCCGTGATCTTAAGCTGTCACATAATTTCAGACTAACCGTAGCCAGAAATTTTGGGTTGGTGGGGAATGGGGAAATTTTGTGGGGCCGCAGGGGAGGGGAAGGAGGGAGGGGAAGGGGCATGCCTGAATGCCCCACTGTAGCCACAGGCCTGCTAACCTACCTTACAAGACTGTTGTGAGAAGGGGTGAAGGATGTTGTAAGTCACTTTGGGTCCTCACTGGAGATAAATATTGAGTTTATCTCAGAGAGAGAGAGAACGAACAAAGTTTGAGTCCAGGGGGCACCTTTAAGGTCGACAAACTTTTATTCGGGTATAAGCTTTCGCGTGCGGGCACACTTCAGAGAGA